ATCAATAAGCAATAATTAAGGAAAATGTTCAGGTCTGCCAAAAATGGTGGGTAATCTATTCATAGACACTCATCCTGTGTGCAAATTATTAACGATAGTAAGTATTGTCAGAAACCGTTAGTTACAGTTTGAAACCTATTTTATAAAGGTTTATTATTAGAAAGTAACACTGCCTTTATAACCTTCATCAGCTGCACTGAATGTGATGAGTACTGAGTCCAATAACAATAACAAGTTCCAAACATCAACTCAATCACATAACGTCACATTACATTTGATTTAAATGACCCTTTTATCCAAAACAACTTACCACAAGTGCAATAAACTCTAAAGATAGCAAGAACCTGCATATCCACTCAGAAAATATAACAACCAATCACAGGTGATCCGATTCCTCTTGTGCTCTTAATATGTGCAGACATTGTGTCTCAGTGTTAAGAACCAACACAATAAATACGGACATTTCAATGTGGACTTTGCCCTTTACAGCAAATATAGGCGAGGTGGACAGGAAATACCACTGAAACTTGTGCTCAAGATTATGTGATTAAAATTAGTCACTGAGAACTACAGGTTAATCTTGACACTAGTCCCCACACATAATAACGTCATCAAGTACGTGACCTTCTTCCTTGAATAGATACATGCACTCAACACAATGTTGTCTTATGACTTTAAAGAAGATAACCATGGAGTTCATGCTCACAGGTTTCACCTTCATGCACTTTACCTTGTATTAGCTTTGCATTAGCTTTGCAATTACTGTAGTTTATTGTATACCCATACATTGTATTCTCACAATATTCTCATATAGCAATATCGTGGTTTATGATCCTCATGTGTGAATGACTTAAATTGACTGACAGAATAATAATCAATAAGATTCATTGTTAGTAGTTTTTCAAGCATATTATCAGAAAAGCGGTTTTGCTCTTATTAAATAGAATATATTTGGGTTTCGGACTGACTAAACAAGACTTTTAAAAACATCACCTTGGACTTTTAGAAACTGGGATAGACCTTTTCCCCTATTTTCTGATAGTTTATAGACCGAACAATGAATTGATAACATACAAAAATAATCAGCAGATTATTTCATAAAGAAAACAATCAGGAATTGCAGCTCAAGCCTTGTTCATCATTTCCTAGTCCGTTATTAGAATATAGATATTATAATACAATATCATAAAATGTGCTTTGTGCTATAAAGAACATGTTAACATTTCTAATAGTTTTAATAGAATATATAATTATTAAGAATAATCACTATAGTTTTCTACTGCATGTCCCAGTTTCAACCGTATGTCATGGTGCTCTCAGAAAAACATAAACAAACCAAATTATTTGGGCAAAATTGTAGTCCCAATGACAGTCATTATTGTCCATTTTATATCCACTGAATAATTTCACAGTGCAAATGTTTTCGGTCAACACGTATAATATACGTCAATACGTATACTGAGGCTGTGACTCCCTGTCATGTCATTACAGCCATCCTTAATCTGTTCAAATGTATTGATTTAACACGTTGATGTGCATGACTTGCTAACAATGAATCTAATTAATGGCAGTGTTTGATGTACGCTCTGATGTGTTGACTTTTCCATACAGCACACCATGGTCAACATGCTGGTGCTGGGAAACTATAAAATAATGAAGTCATTTTAAAAAACAGAATTGGTTTTGAGCATGTGTGCATCCACATATTTTTCTGATTTGCAGGCTGAAGTGTCCCATCATCCCATTACAGCCCAGCATCCCCCTCAGGGGCGCAGGTCAACATCACAGAGTGCCCACAGTGTGTGTGTGGCATGTGTCAACACATCAGAGGTTTGGGGAGGGAGACACAGAGGCATCACTGCCGGACCAGCAATCTCTCACAGACCTGAGTCATTCCTCTCAGCACTGCCTCCAAATTACATTTCTTCTTTTTTAAGTGTTTTCTTCCCTCCCACATCTTCAGTGTATGTGCGTCGACGGGCTTCCACTGATTGCCTTGCTGAGGCCCTGATTGAACAAGGAGGCGATTGCATCTCATGGGGCTATAGGCTGCATACCAAACGGGGTGCACCAGAGCCGCATCAGTGAGTGGGCGGGAGGGAAACCCTGCGCATCACGGCATTATGAGATCAGACGTTATTGTATGCAGCAGAGAAGCTCTGTGGCAGCAGCTCAGGTCCTCAGCTGAGATAATCCTGATATAATCATGCAGATTATAGTCGGTTTAATTAGATCATATTAAATGATGGCTCATGTTTTAAAGGCAGAATATTATGTGAATTTTCCTCACACTTGTCCTGTTTATTGTTGGTGATAATACAAGGGAGTGGACAGGATTTATGTGAGAGACAGAGTCTAAATCCCACGACCATTATGTGTCATTTGAACATCATTGTTCACTTGTTTGTAGGGACTCAATGTTTTTTCTATAGTCATGTTGAGATGGTAGACTAACCCTTGATTTGTGAACATTTTCGAAGAACCCTCGCGAGACTGGGTGCCCAAAACACCTGTCCTCACCACTTGAGTTAAATGCTCAATCTGAACCATATTGTGATAGTTCCGTAAATTGAGGGTTTCAATTCAAAATCTGAGACAGGAATTTATCTATTTTCTTTCCCTTCTTTAGTTACCGCTTGCCAATGGAATAATCAACTGATTAATGAAGATTTTGGTTTATTGTTCCGTTCAAGTTAAAAGCATTAGTAAAATCTTAGGTTTGAGCTTTTTTTCCAGTTAAAGCTCATCTAGCTTCCAGTTGATATAAGGCTATTGTTGTAGTTAGCTATTTCTCTCTGTCAAAGTCTATGTGATGTAATTATTGCTAATGGAACACGCTGCAGGCTATGATAATTATGCCTTAATGTCAAAAGTATTATTCCAGGCTGAACTCCAAATAAACTAAATATGTAATCACAGTGTTTTGGTTTTGCAGGTCAGAATACATCAGTCTTACACAGCCTTTCACAGCACTGCCTGAGATAATGATGTGGGAATGTATATGCACACACACACACACACACACACACACACACACACACACACACACACACACACACACACACACACACACACACACACACACACACACACACACACACACACACACACACACACACACACACACACACACACACACACACACACACACATCACACACACACACACACACACACACACACACACACATACACACACACACACACACACACACACACACACACACACACACACACACACACACACACACACACACACACACACACACACACACACACCCACACACACACACACACACCACACACACACACACACACACACACATGCTTGCCAGATCGTGGCGACGCAGACATAATCCCGTGTGACTGCACAGCCCAGGGCTTCTTTCTGCTCAGCTGGATGAGCTCTATATAGCTGCCTGCGTGGTGAAGTCAGGGAATCCCTTCCTTCCCAGGCTTCTCTCCTTCTTTATTCACCCATGAGCCCCCCCCCCCCCCCCCCCCCCCCCCTTCAGCTGCCTTGTGTGCGTGAGCTGCATTAAAGCGTGTTCATCACTAGGAAGCCATTCTCCCCATGACAATGATAAAACAGCATCAGCAGAACTGCATCTACTGCTCACAGGAGCCAAATTAACCAATGTAACACAATGAAAAATGATAGTATGGCAGAAGGTATTACGCAGCAAAGGCTTGCTGTCTGAAGAGTAGAAAAACAGCAATGCAAAATGTGTCAGGGAACTTTACACCATCAACCTTCAACAGGCTGCTTATTTTAAAATGGCATCCACTTACAGTGCTTCATAATGGACCTAATGATAATGAATGAACTCATGGGCGTTATTGAAATTCATTAGCACAACTGCTTTGTTTTAATGTATAGCTTTTCCAGTCTTAAAGACACAGACCTAGTGGATAATTTCAAAACACGGCTACACAAAGCCTGTGGCTACTTCCTCAGTGTAACAGGCCACTTTGGCCAGCAGCCAGTCTGACAGTTCTGAAAGCCAGATTCATAAGATCAATTGATCAATTAAACTAGCAAATAATAATGAAACACTTAACAACAGTAAATAAGACTAACACATAATGCTAAATTAGTACTCTACAGCCCATGTTTAATAAAAAAACAGAATTTAGAGTGGAAACAGACAACCTTTCAACATTTGAAAGCAATCAGATGACATTTTAGTTTTGGACTGTTGGACAACAAATGCCTGTTTAGTCTTGTGAAATCAAAAACCTTATCAGAGTGTTCAATAATCAGTAAAAATTATGTTCTTACTTGGTTGAAGAATAAATGTAGTCCGCCCTAAACCCTAATGTAATTCATCCTCCATACATCATGTATTCCAGCCTCAAACCAGGACTTCTGGCTCCTGATGAGACTTCAAATCCTGCGGCTGACAACATATTACCATCTTCAAAAGAGGCTTCACATTTCTTTTATCAACTGGATCTCACATCTTATGGCAGCATCAAACACAAGCGCAACACCAACTAATCTGAGGCACAAAAAAACACACCACTGAATTGTAATGAGGTCAGCATGTTGCTTCATCAGAGAGTACCTGACACTTCTTCTGCTGCACCCCAAGAACATTGAGCAAGACATCCAGCCCTGCAGACATTTAGCAGCATCTCTCTGTGTGTCTGTCACCCCTTTATAGTTTTCCCTGAAAATCCCTGGGATATCCTGGTGACTCGAGAAACTAGACAAGGTCATCATTAGCAACTGCCATATTATAGGAACATTAAATTGGTTTTCTCAATTCACTTTGGTTTATAAAAAGCTAGTCTAATCAAATCTAGAAGGGCATCAATTAATTAAACCACTGCCCTCCATACATATCATGACATACATTTCTCAACATCCCCATCCACCAAGTTTATTAATTAATGCAAGATTAATTGTTATAATTTAACTGAGCTGCAGGTTAATCTGCCGTTGAAACCAGCAGAGCCAACAAGAGGCAAGAAAATAAGCTTTTTGCTGCATTGCACCTGCCCAAACGCGTTCAACTTTAGCCGGGGAAGTGGGGCTGTCTGGTCCCGCTGCCGTGTGACTAATCCTCCGAGGTCGTGAGGGTGGAAAGACCACTCCAAACACACACACCAAAAAACAAACAAGGAAAAGACACAACGATCATTAACTGGAGACAAGCCGGTAACGACTGACTGTGCCATATGCCAGATAAACACGGTGGTTTGGTTCCCGGTGCGTGGCCGGTTGACCTGCGGAGCGGCGGTGTCTTACCTGGTGGCCGCGGAGAGAGGCGAGCTTCGGGCGGCAGGGGAGCGCAGGGGACCGGGAGAGTACCGGGATCAGGGGAGCGTATGTCGGTGTGTGCGCCTAGGCACCGTCTGAAGGCAGAGCACCACATCCAGGGTGTTCCCAACAGGAGGGGGCGTGGTGTGTGTGTGTGTGTGTGTGTGTGTGTGTGTGTGTGTGTGTGTGTGTGTGTGTGCGTGTGTGTGTGTGTGTGTGTGTGTGTGTGTGTGTGTAGTGTCACAAAAAGGCTTATTTCTCTTATTCCTAACTATGCGACAGTTTTTTCCTGCACTAACTCAGATTGTTGTTTTCTTTCCCTAATGACCCAATTAATCCGGGTCGTTACTTTATATACTGCAGTGCTGGGCTATACAAAGGTTCAGGGAAACTCCTTCCTGTCACCGGTCGTACATTATGTATTATGGATTCCCCTGCTCAGATCCTCTGGGAGTGTGTTGCTCTCCTGCAGAGTGACAGTTTATTTCATACTGTGTGAAATAAATGGGTTGGTCATGCTCAACTTGACAAGTAGAGCTGTGAAAAGAGATGGTGATATGGGGGAGAAACACAATAAGAGGACCTTATTCCAGATCAATACAGGTTGTTATACAACCAGTTTGTCTGTGCTGTTGTCAGTCTGACCTGATCTTCAACGGTGGCCTCTTTTCTTGCTTTTATAGTGCCACAGTTATTTAGTTTTTATGTAGGCTATGTTGCTTTCTATGTAGCATGTTGGCAATGCAATATAATGATGTCCTGCATAACACATCACAACGTTGTATAACCCTTGTTTCAAATCACCATACTACATATTATACATATATACATATATACATATATATATGTGTAATACTATACATAATTAATGATTGATGTTCTATGTAATAAGCTTTGTGTCAATAGATGATGAAAAACAGTATTTTAGGTTGCATTAGGTTGCTGCATTTACAGCAGTCATTAATCAACTTTGCCCATGTAAAATAAATAACCAATAAAAAAAAAAGTGTTAATTAATCTGTGTTCATAATGCAAGAGTTATTTTAAAACAGAATTAAATATTAAAATATAATTTAAAATAAAGATGAATATTTAAATACATGTTAATAGTGTTGATGTAGAGGTTGTAGTGCCTGGCTTCACCACAGGGGGGCGACATAATAAACCCAGTCAGATGTTTCTGTGCACTTTTACTCTGGACAGCAGGAAGTAAACAGGAAACGCAAACCAGCGATAATAAAAATAACGGACTAACAAATACCTCTGTGTCAGTAGAAGTGATGGAGGAATATAACCCTGGAGATGAGGTGAAGTTTTTTTCTGAATTACATTTAATTCACTGTATAAATCTACAAAGCTAAAATAAAAACACGCCTCGGTTAGCTCTATCGTTAGCTCAGTGATGCAGGCTGTTTCCATTTGGGTGTGGTCCCTGTCGTTTCATTCATAATCATTTAACTACATTTATAAAATAAGTAGCCTATTAACGTCAGAAACAGCCAGCAACAGTGACATTATAAGCATTGTTATTATTATATTGTTAATATTCCTACTAATGTAAGTAATAATAAGACTGCTACCAAATGTAACTGGTATTTTGTATATGTGTACCCATTTCTGTCTTTTGTTTTATTTACCCTAACTATAAGTGTAATTTACACGTATTTAATAATGTGTTCTTCGGTGAGTAACTTGGGTCTTGCATTCTGTCACTTGTTATCATATGACAGTGATGTACTGTAGGCTTTTTGCATTTCTTTCTGAGTTAATGAAATACATCTCCGTATGTTCTAGTCTTTATGATAACACTCCTTAAAAAAGAGATATATACTTACCTACTCTGTATACTGTTAGTTATTGTACACCTGCTTATGGGATTTGTGCTAGACTACAAAACCTCTTTGCATTTTTAGGCCAATTTGAACTCTTTCACAGATTGACCATTATATATAATCAGAAAAACAGTCTATAAGGTGGATTCTTCATGGAAAAATACAAAATAGAACAAGCATGATGCCACAAACTTACTGTGTTAATTCTTTGTTTTGATTGTCTGTAGGTTGCCTTCAATGCCGATGAGGTCAATATCTCAATTAAAGAGGTACCTTTTTAATTACTGTTAACATCAGATAATTGTATTTACTGCACATTAAAGTGATGAGTGTGCTTGACCTTCTCTGTGTGGTTTTGTCTCAGTGTGTGGAAGGTGTTATTGGTGGAACAGATTACAACCAGAATAAAGTGAACCAGTGGACGGCCAGTATCGTGGAGCACTCTCTGACTCACCTGGTGAAACAGGGGCGGCCGTTCAAATACATAGGTGAGGAAACTGCTCATCATAAACAATAACATGGAGAAAACTCAGGAGGCAATGTTGACATGTGGAGCTTCTTCTCGGCTCATGAATACTCTCTATTGTGTTACAGTAAACTGTGCGATCATGCAGAAGAGCGGCGCTGGTCTCCACACAGCCAACTCCTGCTACTGGGACACTACCACTGATGGTGAGAAATGACTGATAACTAGAGCTGGTAACACTTTTAAATGTGTTTGATTTATAGGAGGGATTATAATTCTCTGTATACATATATTTTTCAATCAGGAAAAAGCAAACAAGATTATAAATTTGGATACGAAATGCTAGTATTTTTATGTTTTCTATTATTTTATATTGTATACTGTTTATTTATGTACACTATGACCAACCCGATCACAGGTTTATAACTTCAGGTTTCCTACATTTCTCCCACTCCAATCCAGAAAACCCCCAAAAAGCTGGAACTTATTTAGAATATAATTTAATAGTGGTATTGGTATTAATATAGTGGTAGGGAGGGCCATACTATTTTTTTTTTGTAAATCGATCGAGAGGGGTGTTCAAATTATGTATTTTGGCGTGTAGAACACAAATCTGAAGACATTTTTCAATTCTGATAAACCTAACCTACATCAATTTGCAGTTGATTATTATCTATTTTTTGATTATTTTTGCTATTCTTCTGGAAAAAAGAGACTAAGTTGGGGGGCTTTTATTTAGAAGTCAGGGCTTTTATGTTCCTGTCTGAAGTGAAACTTACAGGAATTGAAACTTACTTGTGTATCAGTGTTTTCAGTGTGAATTAGTTGAAATGGCTCAAGTCAAAACAAGGGCAAAATCTACTTCTCATTTGAGTAATCTTGTTGGCACTGGGCGAGAGCTGTTGGTGTCTGAACTGCCAACTGTGAGGGATATCCTGAGGTATGGCATCTACTTGAGGGATAAAAGTAAAGATAACAGGAGGAACTGCCCAGTGGACCAGCTGGTGGGTGACATCTTCCCTGGTCTGATTGGTCAGTGGAGCAAAGCGAATGCTCTTTTCAAGCCACCTGTTATTAATGAAAAGGTGACCATCACCAAGCTCAAGGAGGTCTGGAATCAAGCAGTGAAGTTTTCCCTTGGGAAGGGCAAACTTGATGCCAAAGAGAGGTTCAGTGTCAAGTTAGACTAATTATTTGATATTTTGACTTGCAAGTGTCGGATTACCAGTTGTGAGGGGGGAGGCTGTGATGGCTGTGTGATCCAAGCCCACATTCACTGTTCCTGCAGCAGAGACACAAGGATTCCTTTAAAAGATCTTGCATACATCAAGGGACAGAAAAAGAGGGTTTGGAAGTAAAGGACCCCACCAAATGGGGGAAGGCAGGGGATGGAAAACATGGCTGAGGAAAGGAGAAGGAGCAAGGAGGAAAATGCTGCAGCAGCAGACAAAGCAGCCAGGAAGGATGTTAAGAGATTTTTGGCAGATGGTGATGAGGATCTGGAATTGGAGAGTGGTGCTGAAGATGAGTTTGTCCCTGAAGTTGAGCTCTTCCCTGAAACTGAACCTACAGCTTCAACAAAAGTACAGAAAAACTATGATGATATTCCAAATATTGCGCTTGCTAGTGTAAGGTATGGCATAGGGCTGAGATCAACTGCAGCTCTGATTGGTGCAGGAATCATCACAGAAGACAACACAAGTAAAGTGATTGATAAAAACAAGGTCAAGAGAGCACAGGAAAAGTTGATGAGAGAGCTGGGAGAAGAGTTTGAGGAGAAGTGCAGGGAGATGGGTGGGGATCTCCTGCATCCTCTTTGATGGGCGGATTGACCTGACAAATGTGATGATGGAAGCTGAGGGCAGTGACCAATCTTTTCCTGCAAAGATCAAAGAAGAACACTATAGTGTCGCTAGTGAGCCTAGTCACATCCTGTTTCAGCTGGACTGCCTCAAGTCCCAGAGGAAGGAGGTGCTGGACCTTGTGATGCCAACTGTGAGAAGATCCTCCAAACACTGCTGTGCTCTGAGGATCAGAAGGAGATAATTGAGGGGGTGATCCTGGCCATTAGGGGAGAGGGGGACCCAGACACTCAGCTGGGGGACTCCTCTGTCAGGACCAGAAGGACACCTGACATCAATTGTGATGCTTCCAGCATTGGGGACTTGATCAGCTGGTCAGAAGGTGTGTCAGAGCCACCTCTCACCTGCTTGCTAAGCACCTCGGAGGTGAAAAACGTCATCAAAACCCCCATGGAGGTACTCAACTGGCCTTGCCATACTCAAAGCATTGAGAGGGTTGTTAAAATGGTGACCGAGGCTTCTGCTAAGTACTTCTCACAGGAAAAGAGGGATGGAGGGATCAGAGCTCAGGAGACCAGCAGGAGACTGATGTCCAATAATGAGTCAAAGCAGGACTTGTGCAACCTTGCAAAGTTCAAGAAGTCAGAAGATTGATCTTTGAAATCTTATCCAGTTATATGTATGCAGTTCACCTGTTAATAAATATGTAAAAAGGATTTGGCTTTGTCAATATAAATGATTTCCCTTATATCTTTTACTATCTTAAATAGAGGTTCGAAAGGGTAAAATTGCCGATTTCGAAATACAAAACGATGTAGGTTAGAGTTATCCTATCCAAAGAATAAGCTCATATTTGAATTCCCCATAAAAAAAACACATAATTTAGACACCCCTCATGTTAGGATTTCCTTCAGATTCATGTTGGCACCTGAGTATGACCCGCCCTAATATAGTGGTAATATGTAATATCTGTTGATCAATTTGACTAGATTAATAGTTCCAGCTCTAATTGCTGTGTTTGAAAACATTTAGAGAATTCATTTAGGAGTAACTGAATAACCGACACCACTAGAAATAAAATACTTGTTTGATGTGGACGTCTGCGTCATCTCTCCTGCTTGTTTGTCTTCCAGGAAGCTGCACAGCCCGGTGGGAGAACCGCACCATGTACTGTGTGGTCAGTGTGTTTGCTGTTGCTGTGACGCTGTGAGCTGCTTTCTCTCCGCTCACTCCATCATGTGTGAAGCTTGAAATGGCACCGTGACCAAGAAGATCCTCTGATGATACCCCCCGTTTGTAGAGTATTTCTCCCCACAGGCTGAAACAACCGCACGCCATGATAAAGAGTCGTGGTTTTAGTCCACGGCATTTCTCTGAGAAAATGTGGAATTCTAGGGACCTGGTGACCTCAAACATTCATGTACTTTGATTAGACGGCCAGTCTTCGGAAGTGAAAACTAAATGTCTTCTCTCTTTATGTCCGAAATGTTCTTATCTGTGCATAATGTAAAACTGTAATAGTTTATAGCCATGCCACCATGAAGGCTCTGGGGATGGCAGTGTCCATTTTTGGAGTAAATGTAATGAAATGTGCTACACACACACATTCAAATCCTCCTCAGGATACACTGCAAAACTGTAGTGCTTAAGACGAGCTGCTAACATGGCGGTAGACTCTTCATCTCGTCTTCAGTACATTCCCAAATGAAACAGATGCCGTCTAGAAAGTTTGGTATTGAAGAAAACGCTAAATAGCTACCGGACTTCTTGTATGAAGTGGCTCTACTAGTCTGTATTAATGTTTTAATGATTTATATTTATTGCAGATATGTGTGTACATTTTTCAGTATGATGGAGTTTAATGGTCAAAGAGACTAATGCACTTTTCCTGGAATTCTTCCGTAGAAATCCTGAAATTCTTCTGTAAAATTGAGTTAATGAAGGCTGTGTAATAAATTTATTTATTGTAACATCTACAGTGCATTCGTTAATTGTTGCATCTGAGTGAGAGTTGATCCCTACAAACTGAATGTGACGGACACAAAAGGTGCAGTTTGGTTTTCTGTCCACTAGAGGTCAGAACTATATTTGGTAACTGCTTCGGCTGAAAATAAGACAAATCTGAGAATTTTCACATATAGATAAAAATGTATTTGAATTTTTATTAATTAGGATTATTGTTTGAATGCCTTTTATCTTGTTCTTTTGAGGATGCTCCTTGTGTACAATAGATTTCTCATCTTTTTTGGCTCATCTAATTTGTACAAACATAAGGAGCACTCGTTTGATACCCGAGGTTTTCATCCCTCTGCAGATACATTGCAAAAAGGACTAGGTGCAAAAACAAACCACACTGACATTCTCTCCCTTGTACACACACCATTTCACAATAAAGGTTGAAAATAAGCAAAGATACAGTTTACAACTCAACATTTTTCCATTAGATATAAACTTTTTCAGTGTGCATTTGGTGTAAATATTCTAACTAGTGCAGTGGTTGCGTTAGACTTTTTCGTTGTCTGTCATTTTGACGGACAGGATCGTAACATTTCCGTCATAATCCATTATTACCCGTCATTTTATTTTTCATGTTTTAATGATGAGACATATTTAATATTTATGTTTGGGTACTAAGCAGCAAATGTTCAATCATTCCTTTTTTTTATGATTCATACAGAACCTTTAAGGGCATGGAGAAAAAGAAGATGAACAGAGACACCGACTGTGCGGTCACTTTTCATGTCAAAACGAATATGAATGATTTATTTTTCCTTGCCACTTGCTTGTCCCTCTGCTGCTGGCTGAACGTTGTCAGTTGTAGTCTTACTGGCTTGTCCTTCATCCTCCACTGCATCAATCCCTCTTTTTTCACCTCGTTTATCCACACCATCACAATTACTGGGCTTATTAAAAAAGCTTCGGACACTCAGCTGCCGTGACATTTTGCGATTGCTAAAGCCGGTTAAACAACGAGGAAATCAACGAGGTCAAATACAAGACGAGACAATAGCTACTTAATATCCACACACTCGCTACCAACTGGACAGGGGTGTGAATTACTAAATAATAGTTACAGTAGAGTACAGTAGATCGCCCTCAGTCGACCTGGCCACTAAGGATGTAATATAATGTGGGCCGCTGGTGGACATTTTGGCGCTGTTCCGAGTTGTGCTCTAATCTGTCAAAATGACGGACTGCTTTCAGAGTTTTCCGTCATACTTGGAAAAATTACGTCATAGACGGAAAATATTCGGTTAACGCGACCTCTGAACTAGTGAGACTCACAGACACAGAGCTGACGGACATAACAAGCATGAATTAGAAAAGCACATATATCCAAACAAAGCATTTCACATCACTGCAGCCATTTCTGTTCAACAGTTGAACCAAAGCCACTTAAATCCTTTTTGTAAACGTGCAAAACTCATGTTTGGAGACGTCGGTGTCTTACAGTTAACGTGTGAACGAGCACTTTAAACAGTATGTTGATATTCACATCTCTTCACAAAGCACAGACACATCACAGAAGCAGCGCGTGTTAATGATAACGCTCTCATCAAGGAGTAAAAAAGCTGATTGCTTGCAGCCATAAAACTAGAGGGAGGGGTTCAGAAAACACCCTGTACAAAACAGACCCCCCCCCACCTTGCAGAGGTTCATCTGATGCTTCAAACATGCACACCTCCATGCCAAATAGAGATACTAAATACAATCAAGTCATATGCATGGCGCCTTGGGATCAGTAAAGCAGCAAATACGTGGACACAGTCTCCAAAGCGTGAGAAGTAACTGTGTTGTCCGTGTTTTTATTATAGTAAAGGCTGCAGGGTGAAGGGTTTGGATGTTAGATGAGCACCACCCCGGCTTCTTCATTGCATTTCCAGGCTTAGAACACATTAGCTTCTTGTTGATTAACAGTGGTAGAAAACAGAGTTGAGATGGACATATGAAAAGGGGTCAACTCAACTCGCCAAAGGGATTCACGGGGCACTTAAAAAGGTTACAGAGGGTATCTACAGGGAGGCGTGTGGTGCAGTGGGTTGTCCGTAGGTGTTCAGATCAGGGGGTCACAGGTGCAAACCCCACTGCAGTCAGCATGTCGTTGTGTCCCTGGGCAAGACACTTCACCCCAAATTGCTCCTGTGGGGATTGCCCACAGTATTGAGTATATTGGCACGTCCTACAGCTGTGATGCTTTAAGCGTTGCAGGATACACTGTGGTTAATGTCCCCGTTGATTCCAACACAGATGCTATTGCTCACTTTATTGGGAGAGTCGCAGACTGTATCATTGAGCATGTCATACGTTGTTTCGTTAGGCATGTCGTCAGTGGTGTCGCTGGATGTGTCCTGGGCTCCGTCATTGGCTGGCTCTTTACGTGTGGGGGGACATGGTGACTTTCTTGTGGGCCTGTTCTGTGGTGAAGCAGAGTTGCATGAGAGACAGAGGAGAGAGGAGCAGGTCCAGAGGCCCTGGGTCATGCTGGAGGAGAAGAGCCTCCGACACGGGTGACAGAACTGGTAGAAGACCAGCATGAAGAAGATGGCGATGCCGTAGGCGAGCAGCAGCAGCAGCACCAGCAGCGGGGCACAGATGAAGTTGTACACCTCAGTTTTATACATGAACCACAGCAGGAGCAGCGAGGCGTTCTCCACAAAACGCAGCACGTAGTACACGGCCATGCGGTACCAGTTCTGGGACTTATTGATGAGGTCCGGGTCGCAGAGCTTCACCTGCACAGCGGACCAGCAGAACATGTTGATGCCGGCATACAGGAAGGTGAGCAGGCAGAGCACGATGGTGGTTCCCACCCTGGTCAGAGTTTTCTCTATATTCTCAGGGAACGGAGAGTGGCTCAGCCAGAACAGGATCCAGGGGTAGAAGAAGAACACTATGAAGTTGAGCAGAACCACAGGGAGGATCCAGAGCTGCAGCACAGAGCTGAACAGAACCAGCACCACCACCCGACTGGCGATCTCAAAGCTCCTCCACAGGAAAATGCACATATAAGCCACGGGCCGGACGTCCACTTCATAGTCATCGTATTTGATCTTAATGGCCAGGATGTTGCAGCGCAGCGCTCCGTACACGATGGACAGGAGCGAGATCACCATCAGCGTGCCTGGTAGTGAAGAGACAGAAATATCAAGACAAAATATGAGTTTCACTGATTTTCTATGCATTGTTTTTAAATACCATTACATGCATCGTATCAGAGGAAACTATAAGCAAGTACTACTATTTTTGGTAAAAGATATGAGGAAATAATACCTGAAAATTACACAGATGCCTATAAATACATTTACAAATCTTCAGTGAGAAGTATTACAAATATTATAATACCACAGTTTACAAACACAGAAATTCAGCAGAAAACCTTTATACTATATTTTGACATGTTCGTTATTTGTATCACACCTTGTTCTTGCACCTCTCTTATTTAGAGTCTATGTATGCCTGTAAATTAAAAAAAAGGTCAATGATTCTGTTTCAAGAAGTCTTTCAAATAAATGTTTATGGTCAAAAGACCTTAATTGTTTTCTCAGCTTGTCTCTACGTGATATATATACAAGGTGTATTTAAATAACCATGCCCAGTGTATTCACTGAAGAATAAACAATCTCCTGATGGTAGAAACATTCACACTAGTTTTGCTTGTAGTCTCTCCTGTTATTCACATTAAAAGTCTTATTTCAGACACGTTTCCATTGAGAAATATGGGGGAGAATATCAAAAATGTATATATTCCAAAGATTAAGTAAAGTAGATATGAGACTCTAGTTAATTCAGTCTCTTTAGTATAACATTAACTCTTAATGTTTCCATGTGCAGAGAATAGGGATCCAAACAAAAAGAGAGAATTTGGGACTAGAAGACTGAAACTGTAGATGAATGATTCTACTCATATAAAAATAGCTTCATATTAGCTTTGGATAAACTAAAACAGGACTAGGAGGAATGATTGTAGCAACGTGTTAAATGTACATATGGGCTTTGGCGACGCTCTCCTTTAAAAAGACCTTCAAGCTCCCATTCATCAAATGGAGGCCGTTAAACCGGTCAGCGTGAAATAGAAGTGTCAGACCGCCGGAGCAGAGGAAGTACGATTTATGTAATTATGACATATTTTATCTTGTCCTTGTTCGACGACCAGATGTCCTGGTGTGACTTTGTGTGAACTCTTACTAAATCTCTCAGAGGGAAATAAAAGCTGGCTGCTACAGAGAGTTGGACAGCCAGTTCTGCAGCGACTGGCAGAGGGAAACACCATATTTGCCATCCTTGGTATCAGAGAGGCGGTTACATAACACCACTTTGACTCATGAAAACACCATCCTCTTATGTCAAATATGGCACTTAGCTGATCAGCCCACACGGTGAAGTGGATTGATGTAACACGTGGCCAGACAATTAAAATGTGACTCATTAAAGTACACGCTTCCTCACCTCTCCCGATGGACACCCCCTGCTGCAGGGCGCAGATGTAGAGCTGCAGGGTGAGCTGGGGGGCCGACCCCAGGAAGGCCTGAATGACAGAGGAGCGGACGAAGGCTGCTCGGTGTGTGAACAGCTTCCCCTCCGCCTGCCCCACCTGCCGCTCCACCTCCTCAGACTGACCCCCGCGAGGTATCTGCTTCTTCCTGGTGATGCTGACATACGGCTCCTCCACACGGCCCACACTGCCATAAATACAGAACGCCTCCAGACACCTGCGGGAGCAACAAGAGAGGGAGAGCATTCAGAGCGGCAGAATGAACGAGGACACACAGCACAGATCAGGGTTATTATTCCTGCAGGTATTTATCATAAACCAGTGTGGGATGGAAAGGCACAAAGTCCATCATATAACTACAATGAGGGAAACATGATCTCATTAAAATAGTTATTAAAATGTATACATTTTTGAAAAATATGATAATACTACAGTTTACAAACACAGAAATTCAGCAGAAAAATGTAAGAAACACAACTTTTGTACAATATTTTTACATGTAGAGTTTTTTTTAATCGGGACTTGATCTTGAACCTCTCTTATTTAGAGTCGATGTATGCCTGTATTTCACAAAAAAGTCAATAATTCTGTCTCAAAAAGTCTTTCAAATCAATGTTTATGGTCAACAGACATTGATTGTTTTCTTGTCTCTACTTGATATACAAACAAAGTTTCTTTAAATAATCATGCTCAGTGTATTCACTGAAGATTAGACAAACTCCTGATGGTTGAAACAACATGCAGGTGCTCCTAGAAACATTCTAGCGGTCATCTCTCCTCCTTTTCACGTTGGCCATTCAAAATCTTATTTCTAACACGTTCCCATTGTGAACTATGGGGGAGAAATGTAATTTCTGACATTTAGGTACAGTTTGTTTCATGTAATTTATAATAGATGGTGATCAAACAGAGTGTTCCTCATAGACAGTTAATTGCTTACGGCTCTATGACAGCAAATAAACTATTTTACTTAAACTCTGGATGACATCTGAAATACTCTCAGTACAGCTTCAGCCAAATTACTTGTAGAGTACCCTGCCGCAGTAGATAATTGAGTTTGCACTGAAGGATAATAGTATTTATTTAAGATAATTTGGTTTCCCTTAATGGCTTCCCTGGAAGACGTCCATCAAGCAGCTCTCTAAAGGGAGGAGGGTGGTTTAGTGGGCAGAGATGCACTTGTATTTATTTATTCATCTATTCATTTCCAATCTTTCTGTGTTTCTTTTCCTTGGTTACATAATCTTAACCATATCAATCGTTTGTTCATTTTAGTTATTTTGTTCATATTTTGCATTCTGTTGCACTGAAGCTATTCATTATTGACTAATGTTTAGTTTTTTTGTATATGTGTTTTGGTCCGTAAAATGTTAGAAAATGGTAAAACAATGGCCGTCACAGTTTCCAAGAGCACAAGTCGACATCTTTGAATTCCGCATTCTGGAAGAACAACAGTCCATAACCAAAATATAAATCTACAAAAACTCACATTTGGGGAGCTGGAAAATGAAATGTCTTGTCACGGTAAAATATTTAAACTATTAATGGATTTTATGAATTACTCCTTTTAATGGACTCAGCTCTTGGTGCTTTAGTTATGAAGTTCAATAGAGCTCCATAGGATGCATTATTGATGGATTCAGAACTAGCTCAGTAAGACTGGAGAGGATCGTCAACAGGTATTATCAATCGTTATTATCTATTGGTACATGTACGCCAGCAATTAGCTCTCTGTCAGGGTAAGTCAGGTCGCGGTGAGTTCAAGACAATAAAACAGTGAGGGAGGAGGATTTACACCCAGGGTGCTGCGGGACAGACTGCTGTATCAGCTGGAGTGACACGCATCAGTGACTTGATCCAATCATATAAATAAATAAAAGTGGAAAGGTTTTGAGTGAGTCAGCGGCTTTTCAGATGTTAAAGAAAATACCAAAATCCCATTCAAGGATGAAGAGATAAAAATCAGTCACACGCTGCGTTTCTGCTGACCTCAGCATGCTGTAGAGAAGATGTGTCTCTTAAGATGGAGTGGGTGCAAACAACAGACAGATATCGTATCGCACAGTAGCTGTCGCTATTTATTTCAATTTAACCCTAGATCAGTTTCTACTTGCAGGTAAAGATGTCACTCGAAGTAAATCATGACCCAACTGTAGAGTTTCCTTCAGGTCAAAAAAAGGTTTAAAGCATCTCAAATCTGTTAAAATCACAGCTCATATTTGAGTTTTCAGCAGCAGAAGACAGTTGTTTTCAGTAAGAAAGCTCTGAAAACGTTATATTATCTGCTCTGCCAAAAACAGCAGAGAGACACAATTAGAGACTAGCTTCTGAACGTAGTGGGGCAATAAAGAGGAAAAGAGAGAGAAACCCGAAACAGAGAATACGTGATTATTGGGCTAACATTCCCCAGGTGGCTACAAACACCACTTCCAAGGAACAATAATGTTGCTCCATAACAGCTTGATGTTTAAATAAGCAACCGCTGCTAACATTTTTCACCACATCATCTTAAATGTTGCCATGTCAGCGATGACTTGACATCTTGTTACTAGTGACAAAAGACTTCCCATATTGCTTGTTGAAATATCTTTTAGGACTTCAAAAAAGACTGTGCATTGAATAACTATAAGGGAACTCAGCACAGACCTACGCCCAAGACCATTTCCATAAGGGAAATAATCCGCCCCATGCTTTGGACCCACTCCAACATGTAATGGGCTCTTCCCTGAACCATGCTACACCCTTCCACCAAGCTTCATGACAATCTGGCTCCTTAGAGGACATAATGTGTGTCTCATGTGTTTTCCACAAAGTACAAATGTTTTATACCTTCATTAAAAACGTGATTAATATTAAACTGTAATGGCTGGACTCACAATGTCGCCTACCTCCCAGAAATGTTTATTCCCAGACATGGTGCACACATATCTCTTGTGTTAGTTTCATTTTAAACTAATTGGCTGTTAAGTTAGGTTTGATGTCAAAAGTCACGTCATGCTCGTACATGTTGTCTTGACCTCAGATTTTATATGATTATGGAGTAATTTCCTCCTTAAATAATCTTCTAGTTTAAAACTCTGCACATACATAACCCTGCATTGTTACTTAAGACTATAGTAATTATAAGCTAAATGCATTTGTGAGTGCAGGGAGACTTTAAAAGGCTAAAGTACATTTACTTTGCGTTTCTTTTGTACATGGCAAGAAATGTACTTTCAGTATTCTCCACTTCTGTTTAGAGCTGTAAAAGAAGAAGTGATCACACTTGCAAAACATACACTTATAAGGAACTACAATAAGATTTCTAATTACTTAAGGAACTTACTTGAACTTACCAGCCCTTATCATTAAGGGCTGGTATGGCCCTTAATGATAGGGAATGTGTATATGTTAGAAGTGTTGTTTTGGGCGGGAATAGAAGAGGAAGTGCAGCTGTCGGACAACATTTCCCTCCCTGGTTGTGTTGTTGGAGATAAGGAGCCGGCAGCGACATGTGCTATTCTTAGTTCTGCTCTTCACTAAAGAAAGATGGATAAGTCTGAACATTTATCTTCTGAAAAACACTCGAGGGGAAGCAGGCAGACGGGGTCAGACTGCAGGGAGTCAACATGCTGCGAGTGACGTGTGTTCAACTGGTCCTCCAGGGGAATACAACTAACGTAAACAACTCAAATATGAATATCTAGATATAACCGTCTCTATCAGTTGCTACGTTTGTACTCAGCGGATCTTAATGAGAGGTGTTAAACTAGAAGTGCAACTAACAATCCAAATATTGCATTTATGATAATAAGAACAGAGAAAAGCTGCACACTTTACATTTTAGCTTGACTGAGTTAAATGATCATTCATAAACTGAATGTACTATTCCCATGGTATGTAAAATGTCTGAAAATAGTCAAAACTGATTGCTAAAAGCCCAAATGTTTACAGTCAAACAGCTTGTTTTGTCCAGTAATAAAGGAAATATACACATTTAAGACATGTTTTGTTTTTAACAAACAAAAGAATCCAGCTTTTGATTAGTGACAGCATCCTACAAGTCTTTACACCATATATTAAAATGTTAACTTAAAAAATGTGATTTCCTCTTGAGAACTATTATTTGAACCTACTAACTGGACTCTCTTCTGTGTTTTGCCCAGGCATTGGTTATGTCATTTGTCTTTGTATCAAGTCCTATCAGGAATTATACACATATCAAACTAGTTTGGTGACTTGCTCTTTGTCATGTTGTCCATTGATGCCTTCTTTCACTAAAATAAAGTGTATGGGAGCTCAAAAGTTTCCCATTTTGTATTCATCTACTTTTTATCTTTACTCTGCATCCAATGTTTGTTTGTGATCTTGACGTTAACTGCTGCCATATGCCAACCTTTTTTTGTACTCAATCACACCTACATTTTCAATAAATCTACTGAAAAACGGCTTTGCATCGGGGCTGCATCTAACAATTATTTTGTCACTTGACTCCCAAATAAAAATATCTATATTCCCATATAATAGTTGTTATTTTCTGTTTAAATAACCCAAATCTCAAAATATAATTTAGTTTAACATAAATTAAACATCCAAACGAAGCAAATTCTTACACATGAAAAGCTGACTGTCTCTTGAGAATGCACTTAAATTATTGATCTTAAGGAGAAAAAAAAGATATAAGCCAAGTGATCGGCAAATCGACAGATCATTACAGCTTAGTTTACAGAAGATGAGATGGGTTTTCATCCACAGTTATTTCTACATCAGGCAGGATTAGGCTCCTATAGCTGAGGCAGATGGTCCATCCAAGTCAGGCCATGGCTTACACCATGTATATATATATATATATATAAATATAAAAAAAAAGAAAAACCAGGCCTATTGTGGTTTACAGCAGATGCTTTAAAGGGTCCTCCATCAGTGTGTCAGCCTCTTCTTCCTCATGTGTGATTCAATGTCCCTTCAGACAGAGCAGCCATGCATAAATCAGACCCAGCTGAGGATGATTAAACTGTGTAGAGGGAGGAGGAGATCTTATTGAAAGGAGCCTACAAAACAGTGGTGGCTGCCAGCTGTGTGGCTATGCAGGTACATCGACAGGAATATTGATCAGCGTTTTATTTCCCAACTATATCGCACATTCACACATCCACTGCATCAGCATTCAGGCAGACAAAAGGCCGAATAAATGAAAACAACAGCATGTGCGAAAAGCATTAATCAAACCGTCTGTAAGCAGCTTATGTGCAAACAGGCCGGGCTTGCTTTTAACCACACAAATTACGCATGGACACCTAGATGTTTGGTCACGTGACACGGTGATTAGGGCCACCATGGCATCTTCATGAAAGAGAAATAAACAAGGCAGCCCTGACCTGACGATGGGTCCGAGCTGCAGGATGTGCAGCAGCAGCACGAGCGGTCTGTCCCGGCCCAGGTCCCGGTGGATGAAGGTGAGGGTTAGCTGCACGAGCACGGACGGCACGAGCGTGAAGAGGAGCGTGAGCCCCTGCCAGATCTGGTCCCCGGCGGAGCGGTACGTGGAGCTGAGGTACAGTGCTGCCGTGGTCTCAGCTGTGAACAGTGACACCGACACAAAGATGGAGCTGGGGAGGCGCATCCTCACTCACTCCGCCATCTGGGGCACGCGGCTTGGCTCGGGGTCCGCGCGGCCATACCGGGCTCCCTGCCGGGCGGTCAGAGGATCTCCGGCCGGAGGTGTTGATCCAGTCAGGCTCCCGCCGCTGAACTGCAGTGTTGAGGCATGCAGGATGTTTTCACACGCAGCTGTTGTCCCGCAGAGAGTCTGCAGGGGGCGCCCGTAAGTAAGAAGAGACGCCCTGCATTACATTACATTAGCATTTACATTGCATTTAGCTGACGCTTTTATCCAAAGCGATTTACAATAATATGGGATTAGTTTTGTATCATAAAGATAAAGCAACACTTTCTCAGAATAAAGCAAAACTATGAGTTTAAAATTTTAAAAAACTGAGTCAAGCAAAATAAAATAAATTTCAAAAATAAAACTATAAGTTGCAAACACATCATTTGTGTAATCATGTAAATTATAAGTCTTTTTTCTTTGTTTTAACATAGGTTTTTGTTTGCAGTTCTTGTTTCTTGTTTCTCAATGATCAGACTTTTGCTTTCGCTGCAGTACTCTCTTTCTCGCTCCTTCACTTTTTGTTTGAGATTCTGACACAAACCTCCCAGGTGGGCGGGACTTTCAGGGGTGCGTCCCCATTGGCTACTCAGTTTTTGAGTTACAGCCCAGTCCTCCAGCGATTGTACAGTGCAGGCAGCTGCGGTGCACCAACAACACCTCCAGAAGAACCAGCATTTCAATTATTATAATACTACAAGTGAAAATATATGTAAGTATTGATCATTTGTGTTGTTTGTGCTGTACTATACGGTCTGTTTCTTTATTGTGTTAGTTAAGTGAGAAGTAAAGAAAAGCTGTGTTATGAAAGTTAGCTTTTGCTAACTTTAGATCCATAACAATGCAAGCTAGTAGCCTAATAGCAGGGACAGTTAGCTACAAAGCGAGCAGTGGCCGTTTCTCAATCGCGAGGATGCTGGCTTGGTAGCATAGCCGAGCCGAGCATCTTGCTTCAGAAGCAAGGCAAGAATACTTCCTGGCATTCCAAAACAGAGTGAAACAGGCTAGCAAGTGTGCAGGTGTGCGTCATATGAGAGGCACCGCCTTACATCTTCCGCCACAGATTTGGGGAAATTGGTCCATGCGCAAAGCATTGTGGGGATTTTAAGGACGCGAAGTCTACCCATGTGCAGCCTCGAAATTTCCCCCAAACCAAGGACGGCCTCGGTGGAATTCCAAGTATGCTGGAGATTGGAACAGTCCTTCGGCGGCACTCGATGACGTAGCATCCTTGAAATATTGGCTTGGAAGCCAATATCCTCGCGATTGAGAAACGGCCAGTGAGTGAGTGAGCGTTCAGACACCGGCGCACACACTCAAACGGACTCGTGTGCCTGTCTGACTCTACCAACAGGCTTTCATGATTCTGTTTAGATATGCAAGTATAAGCCACGATAGCTTATTTTATTAACACGCTAATTTGATATGAAAATCAATGGAGGCTGAGTTAACTTTGTAGGAAAATCTACCGTCCATGATGCCCCTGAGCTGTGTTTTATTTGTTAACTTCATTTTTTTCATTTCCTAAAATATTTATTTTCCTCTCATATTAACAGTGTGGATCATTGAGACAGCGTGGTGTCCAGAGTCTTATCCCGTTTTCCCACTTCCTCTGAGGGGACAGCACGGAGGGGGGGCATGAAGAGAGACCTGCACCATCTTCATCCACGCTGGGCGTTGCTGTTATCACTGGCTCAGTGTCATTTCATTTGACCAAATGTCTTTACATATACATTTAATAGATGTTATTATCCACCTTTTTGTTTTATGTCCTTTTATTTAAAACATTCTTTGAGACTTCATCTTCTGGTTAAAATTTCAATAAATGTAATTTGTATAATCACTCTTTTGTCTTTATTCTACATGAAAATGTTAGAGATTCCATTCAAATCTGTTGATTATTCATATCTTCCTCAGGCTAGGAATAGTATGTCGAATTTTTAATGCTAAATGTATATCATTTTCTCACAGGATATAGAATGAGACAACACAGTTTTTATCCATTGTGTATGAATGCTTCAGCTCTTCAGACCAACATAGTAAGATGTGAGCATGTTCCTAATTGTGTTGGTATGCAACCTAGGTCTGGTCTGTTTAATAAAGCAAATCTGCCACTTTTATATTGTAGAATTTGTTCAATTAAAGCAGTCTTTAATTGTTTGTCCTAAACATAGCAATATATGCTTTTGAAATGTAACATGTCTTTGAAAAAATAATAGTATACAGTTTATATTGTGTATCACCTTTAGCTTGAAAATACATAGATGTGTTTTAATCTATAAAATAAATAGACACTATCAATCCCAAATTGGGAAATTATTTAACAGCAGCTGTGTGTTCAGGTATTAAAATATTTAAAGTTGGAATAAAGTATAAACTACACAACAATCCATAAGATAAGTCCGATATGTTCATGAAAACTCCCCAGGAGGCACCAACACAAACGTGGCCGAGTGGACTCCGGAGTTTGCTGCATGAGTTGCACTGTATGATCTGTGGTGTAGTGGGCTGTCACTCAAACTGAGTAGCCAATGGGGACGCACCCCTGAAAGTCCCGCCCACCTGGGAGGTTTGTGTCAGAATCTCAAACAAAAAGTGAAGGAGCGCAAAAGAGAGTGCTGCAGCGAAAGCAAAAGTCTGATCATTGAGAAAGAAGAAACAAGAACTGCAAACAAAAACCTATGTTAAAAAGAAAAAGAAAAAAGACTTATAGTTTATATGATTACACAAATGATTTGTTTGCAACTTAGTTTTATTTTTGAAATTTATTTTATTTTTGCTTGATTCAGTTTTTTTTTCTTTTAAACTCATAATTTTGCTTTATTCTGAGAAAGTGTTGCTTTATCTTTATGATACAAAACTAATCCCATAGAATAAGTGCATTCGACCAGGAAGATACAAACTTGAAGAAAACAGAATCATAAGTACATCAGGTTTCATAGAGCCAAAACATTTCAAGTGCTACTCAACTGGCTTTAGATAAGCCAGTCCTTTATTAGTAGCTTATACAAGTGCTTTGTTAGTAATTCTATTGCTCGAAGTGGAGTCGAAAGAGATGAGTTTTCAGTCTGCGCCGGAAGATGTGTATGCTTTCTGCTGTCCTGATTTCAATGGGGAGCTCATTCCACCATTTTGGAGCCAGGATAGCAAACCGACGTGTTTTTGCAGATGGGAACTTGGGTCCCCCTCGCAGTGCTGGTGCAGCGAGCCGTTTGGCCGATGTAGAGCGGAGTGCACGTGCTGGGGTGTACAGTTTAACCATGTCCTGGATGTAGGAAGGGCCAGAACCACCATCCATGACGTTGTCATGCTCGTCCTCCATGTTGAAAAGAAAGAAAGAAAAGCATATTCACTTTAAATTTGGCATATTAACAAGCTATTATACAATATAGCAACCCAGTCTCACGGCATTTCGTGTTGTAGTCACGAAATTAATTTAATCTATTGATTCGTGTTCACCAACACGATTTTCGCATTTTTTCCGTGTCACACAGAACGATTTTAAAAGCAATGTATTTCTATTGGTAGTATGTTTCGTGCCTGCACCACGTCTTTTTGTCCGGTCGGGTCTTGGAATACCAGACGCTGTGTGTGTGACGTATGGATTCTTGGACCCCAAAGCAGAGACAGACACAAGTAAAGCTCAAGGTGTTTAATAAATAATAGGCCAAGGCAGGTACTGAAGACAGGGAACTGGCTGGCTGCAGAAAGGTCCAAAAACAAAGCGGAGGGAAACGTCCCAGGCTATACTCAAAAAGTAGCTCAAAAACTGCAAAGAAACAAAACAAAACTCAAGGCTGCAGAAAGGCACTCTGGATCGTTGAACAGCATTTAATTCTCTGGCAGAGAAGTGAGGTGAGGGCCAGGCTCTTAAAGAGCAGGTGATTATCTGAGTGGGAACAGGTGTGCCTCATCTGCAGCCGGGAGAATACCAGCCACGCCCCCTGTCACACACCAGCCCTGCAGAGAAGGAGAGACAGAGTAGTGAGGGGTAAAAGGAGCAAAACAGGAAACACAACAACAACAAAACCCATGCATAAACATAACAGTACCCCTCCCTCAAAGGACGCCTCCTGGCAGCCTACCAGGCTTATCCGGGTACCGGGCATAAAAGTCTCTCAAGAGATCAGGGTCCAAAATGAGCGAGCGATCAACCCATTGTCGCTCCTCTGGCCCATACCCCTCCCAATCCACTAGGTACTGGTAGCCACGGCCCCGCCTTCGAACCTTCAGCAACCGCCGTACAGTGAAGGCCGGGTGGTTGTCGATGAGCCGGGGGGGTGGAGGGGGTTCGGTCGGAGGGCAAAGAGGACTGCAGGAAACTCTTTTGAGGAGTGACACATGAAAAGTTGGGTGCACCTTCAAGGCAAGAGGCAACTTGAGCCTAACCACACTAGGATTGATGACACGTTCAATCTCATAAGGTCCAATGTACCTGGGAGTGAGTTTCCGAGACTCAGTTTGTAGAGGGAGGTCACGGGAGGAAAGCCAAACCTTCTGGCCCGGTTGGTAATCAGGAGCTGGTCGGCGGTGACGGTCCGCCAGCCTCTGGTTCCGGGCGGAGGTGCGGGTGAGAGCTGCCCGGGCTTCACGCCAGACTCTGCGGGCTCGCCGGAGATGCCCCTGCACCGAGGGAACCGCCACCTCTCTCGAACCGGAAAAAGGGGGGGTTGGAAGCCGTTAGAAGCCATAAAAGGTGACATACCTGTGGCAGAGCATACCAAGGAGTTGTGGGCGTACTCAACCCACGGTAGATGAAAAGACCATGAGGCCGGGTTTCGAGAGGCAACACAACGAAGAGCCGCTCCCAGGTCCTGATTTGCCCGCTCCGTCTGGCCATTGGTCTGGGGATGGTACCCAGAGGACAAGCTGGCCGACGCCCCCAATGCCTGGCAAAAAGCCCTCCATACTTGGGAGGAAAACTGCGGACCCCTGTCTGATACAATATCCTGAGGAATACCATGCAGCCTAAAAACATGCTGGGTGAGAAGAGTGGCAGTCTCAAGGGCAGAAGGTAGTTTAGGCAGGGGGACAAAGTGCACAGCCTTAGAAAAACGGTCAACGATGGTCAGAATAGTGTTGTTACCGTCTGATGGTGGGAGACCAGTCACAAAATCCACCGCAATGTGGGACCAGGGCCGGTGGGGAATGGGAAGGGGGCGAAGAAGACCAGCTGGGGCCTGATGTG